AGTCCTCCAGGACTTGGCCCGTGCGCCACGAGCGTTCAAATATTCCCACCAGTGGCTCTACAATGATGTCGGCCAGTGCCTTCAGCACCCTCGGATGGAGCTCATCCGGGCCTGCCAACTTAAAGGCATCCAGTTCTTCCAAGTGACTCTGCACCATCTCAGGGTCTACGCATGGCAGTCTGGCGCCTTGCTGCTGCCTCTCTACAACCCCAGTGAGAGACTTGTCGTGCCCCTCGCTTAGGAACACTGAGGCAAAGAACTCGTTGAGGAGTTCAGCCTTGTCCCCTCTGTCCGTCACCAATTGTTTTGCCCATTTAGCAGGGGTCCTATTCCTCCCTGGGCCTTCCTTTTACTCCCTATATATCTAAAAAACAATTTCTTGTTGTCTTTTACTTGGGATGCCATCCTCAGCTCCATGGTAGCTTTGGCCGTCTAACTGCCTCCCTACAAGCACGAGCAGAGGAGGTATATTCGTCTTTGGTGATCTCTCCCTGTTTCCACTTTTTATGTGCTCCCCTTTTGTCCCTTAGGCTGCCTTGGATTTCTGTGGTCAGCCAGAGAAGCCTCCTGGCCCCTTTTCCTCTTTTACCTCGCACGGGGATCGTCTTGCTTTGTACCCGAAGGATCGTTTCCTTAAGGCACACATGATGATGATGTTCTTGGTTGACTGTGACAATTGACAACCCAATTCTGTTATCTTATTTTAATGTCTTTCTTTTACCCTGGTCATTATCAGTTAGAATGAAGTCCAGTGCAAGCAGGGTTTATAAGCTAGGTATTCATTAAAAAAACAAGAACCAAAGTAAATCATCATATGGAGAAGCCAGATATGGATCGAGAACCTGAGTCATCCCAGCAACCTTTGTTTTCCTTTGAAAATGAGGTTTAGCATTGCAGAAAGACAGTATCATCTGCTAATTCCTAACTCCATATCTTGCTTTTAATTTACAGGTTTTCCTTTGTTCTGTGGCTATTTTTGGGGGGTTTAGCATGGCATGCAATATCCAGAGCTCTATTGACGGCTCCAATGGGAGAACCCAAAACCATATGAGGCCCTAAACCAAAGAAGCCCCCAGAGGCATAGCGGGGACATATTTCTCCTGGGAATGAGGTGCCTACGTAGCTCTCCTGGGGGCAAGAGCTGAGGATGGGTCCCAGGAAGGTGATGGCAACTGGAGCGGGGTAGACCATGGCCCTGGAGTCACCGCACGATGTGACGCATGGCTCATTCCAGACATCAGCATATGGTTGAGGGCACATCACATCGCAGAGTGGCCAGCAACAGGAGCTGATCAGCTGTCTGTTGAAAGACATCCTTCTGCAATTGCGGGAAACCTGGAACACACAGTGTGTGGTAGAGTAACTCATCTTGGGGTGTTTTTTTTATATGTCTCTGTCCCCTGCTCCTCTGCTCTGTTGTGTTCTCACACCGCTCCTTTTCTTCCCTCCCTCCCTTTTTTTCACGGTAGACATAAATAAAGACTCTCAGCATTTCCACAACAAATTTTCTCTCTACTCAAACAGTTATTAGTATGTAAAGTACTTGGTTAAAGTGGATGATTGCCATCCCTTTATTACATAAGACACCATGGTAGTACAGACACTCCTACACTTTGCCCAAAGCTATTTGCTGAGTCAGTGAGCTTGAGGCCCTATTCTGCGCAGTGCTATGTCAATGTAGAGCAATACATGTTCACTCTCTATGGGTGTTTCTAAATTCATTCAGCAAGACAGACAAGTGGTAAAATGGTGATTGTTATGCCCAGTTTTTGTGTGTGTGTGTTTTTGTTTTTTTTTTTAATTTTGTTTCAAAGACCAAATCAGTACTGAATTCTATCAGGCAAAGCCCAATTGTCAAGTTCCAAATTTTGACCAAGCAGAACTCAATCATTCAAGTCTAAGTGGCTCATACCACCCAAGCAAGTATCCTTCTTCCCAGAGACATCAGTCCTGGGCTTCAGAAACCCCACAAATCTGTGGCAGGCATCCTATATGCAAGCTCAGGGCTCAGAAACCCTGTGATTTGGAAGCCTCCTATCCATACTTGGTCCTAAACAAAAGGCTGGGGAGAAAGCCAGGGGGAAAACATTCCCTCATTGCCACAAAATTCTGTGCAGTTGAGTTTTCCACACCTGGGGAAGCTTGCAGGGGTCAGTTGGCCCTGAGTGCAAGGGACAGGCTGGGCCCTGGAAGAACCACCACTATGATCCTTGTATGTCCTCTACAGGGCAACAAGAGATAACAGGGTAGTTCTTCATTACAGCAAAGCTTATGGGGCAAGTTTTTAGTGAATCTCATCCTATTTAGAATAATAAATAGGGCTGGAAGGGACCTGAAGAGGCCATCCAGTCCAACCTCTTGCTCTAAGCAGCAGCATCCTTGTCTAAACCTGCTCAATCAATTGTTTGTCTTACCTGATCTTAAAAAACTCACAACCCCTCTTGATAATCTGCTCCAGAGCTGGGCCACCCTCCTAAGGAGCATGCTCCTAATACTCAACTTAAATTTTCCTTGTTGCAATTTAAGACCATTACTTCATACAATGTTCTGTACCAGTCATTTCTGTTTTTTGAGGCTGTTCTCACCTCAGTCCTCTCTTCTCCAGACAACATAACCCCAGTTCACCTCAACCTTTCCTTGCATGCCATGCTTTCTAGGCCTTTTGCAGTCAAAGCAATGATGATTATTATCAAAGCTAGTGCAACACAGATTTTTCAGTTTCCAGCAGTTTTTAAGTGCCCAATTTTGCATGTGACGTTGAAAAGCTTGTAAATTCTATCCACCTATTAACCGGCGTACACCCAGTGGAAGGGGTGGGGAGGGGGTTATCTCCAAAGAGGAGTATACCTCCACTACTCGGGCCTGTAAGGGGGGCTGTTAGGAAAGCTAAGGCGGACATAGAGCTAGGACTAGTGTTCAAGATCAAAGATAATAAAAAGTCCTTTTTCAAAAATATAAGGAGGATGAAGAAGGTGCCGGGAAATGTGGGGCCCCTGCAAGATATGTTGGGCAATCTGGTGGTTGTGCCAGAGGAGAAGGCAGACCTCTTTAACAAATTCTTCACCTCCGCTTTCTTGTGCAGGGACCGGGACTCCCCCACTGTGATTCAAGTGGGACTTGAGGGGAATGCCTCCAGACCTAAGGTTGAGGAGGACTGGGTTAGAGTGCTTCTGGAGGGGCTGGACGTGTTCAAGTCAGCAGGTCCAGATGTTCTCCACCCCAGGGTGTTTAGGAGCTAGCAGGGGTTATTTCAGGGCCCTTGGCATGGCTTTACAAGCGCTCATGGTGCTCAGGCCAGGTGCCAGATGATTGGAAGATAGCCAATGTGGTTCCCATCTTTAAAAAAGGGAGGAGGGAGGATCCAGGCAATTATAGACCTGCATCGGATGCAGGTGTTGCTGTGGATATAGTCTTTCTGGACTTCAGCAAGGCCTTTAACACTGTTGACCACCCCATCCTCATTAAAAAAAAAAACTAGGTGACTGTGGCATCAGTGCCTACACAGTCAGATGGATTGCAAATTGGCTGAAGGGTCACAGTCAGAGGGTGGTGGTGGATGGGTCATATTCGACCTGGGGGGAAGTGGGCAGTGGAGTCCCCCAGGACTCGGTCCTTGGGCCTGTGCTGTTCAATTTCTTTATCAGCGTTTTGGACGATGGAGTGAAAAGCAACCTGTTTAAATTTGCTGATGATACCAAAATTGGGGATGAGGTGGGCACGCTAGTAGGGAGGGAAAGACTGCAGAGAGACCTGGATAGGTTGCAGGGGTGGGCTAACAAAAACAGGATGCATTTCAATACGGACAAGTGCAGGGTGCTGCACTTGGGCAGCAGTAACCAGCAGCACACTTATAAGATGGGAAACTCCCTTCTTGAGAGCACGGAGGCAGAAAGGGATCTTGGAGTCATCATTAACTCCAAGATGAACATGGGCAGACAATGTGAGGTCACGGTCGGCAGGGCTAACCGGACCCTATCGTGCATCCACAGGTGCAGCTCAAGTTGGTCCAAGGAGGTGATCCTGCCCCTATACGAGACACTGGTCAGGCCGCAGCTGGAGTACTGTGTCCAGTTCTGGCCACCCCACTTCAAGAGGGATGTGGACAACATGGAGAGGGTCCAGAGGAGGGCCACCCACATGATCCGGGGACAGCAGGGCAGACCCTACAATGAGAGGCTATGGGACCTGAACCTGTTCAGCCTTCACAAGAGAAGGCTGAGGGGGGACCTTGTGACCATCTATAAACTCACTAGCGGGGACCAGAAGGGTTTGGGGGAGACCTTGTTTTCCCTAGCACTCCCCGGGATAACAAGGAATAATGGCCACAAGTTGTTGGAGAGTAGGTTTAGATTAGACATCCGTAGGAACTACTTGACAGTTAGGACAGCTAGGATCTGGAACCGACTTCCAAGGGAAGTGGTGCTGGCTCCTACCCTGGGGGTCTTTAAGAAGCGGCTTGATGCCTACCTGGCTGGGGTCATTTGAGCCCAGTTTTCTTCCTGCCCAGGCAGGGGGTCAGACCTGAAGATCTACAAGGTCCCTTCCGACCCTACTTCTATGATTCTATGATTCTGTGAACTACAGAAAAGCCACCTGTGAAAAGAAAGACAGTGCTAACTCTTCTGAAGCCACAGATCATTGGTGTAGGATTCAGTCCTAAGTCAATACTGTCCCAAGAGAGATTTCCATAGCTACAAACAATTGAGTTGAATCAGACTTACCAGTTCACCCTGCAGGAGAAGTTAGCAGAAGTGGACAGAAGAGCCCTGAGTGATGAGGTCTTTTATACATTTTCTTAGATAGCAGGAAGCTACCTGTTTTGCATAAAATCCTTATTACTTAGCAAACACAACATTTTCTTTCAGGAATATTCCCGCAGTGGCTGTGATGATTAATAGCCAATTCGTACCCAATATGATATGCATATTACACCCTGCACTGCCTTCTCATGTTGAGTCCTCATGAGCCAAGTATCATTCCACCGAAAAGTGTCATTCCACCAACTTTACTAGGGTTAAAATGAGGAGGATTCTACCCTTTTTGGTCCAGTTCTTCTTTTAATAACTAAATTACCTCCTGAAGTCTCTTCTAGTCCTATTACTCCTTCATTTTATTACCAGGTCCCTCTTCAGCTAGTGGCCAAGGGCTGTAATGCCATACTCTGAAAGCAGCTAACCCTGAAGATCTGGTCATTTGACCACTCCAGACAGCCGTGTAAATGATATCAGTGCTAAAATGTCATATTTGTAACCTACAACTATAAAAGTCCAACTAGAAACCACTGAAAAAACGCAAACTCAGCATTCTTTCATATTGCAGCACATGGCGTTGTCACTTTATGAATACATTCACATCCCGCCCCACCCTCTGTTGTCCCACTGTATTCTCAATCATGTCTATCAGCAGAGGGTGTGACCCTACAGGTGATGATCAAGACGGATAGACAGACAGACGCTCATCTTTTCCCAGGGCAAGCCCAGCTGCTACTTTAGAGTGTAAGAAAACATTTGTTTCATACTGGATGATGTCAGGGATCTTTTTCTTGAAGCATGAGGAGCACGGCAGGAGAGAAACAATAGCAACAAATGGACAAGCAGCATCTTCTGGCCTGGAACTTCTTGAGTTGTTGTTTGTGCAATGTTGTTGTTTGACAACAGCTTGAAATGCTGACCCTCGTGCCCATGAGTGGAGGGGCTTCTTATCACAAAAAAAAAAAAAAAAAATTCTATCGCTTTTAGTTTGCACGTGCTGCTGACCCACCAGCTTTAGAAAGCAGAGCATTGCCCGCAGAAGGGGTTTGTATGCTGAGTGCAGATCATAATAAGGACGTCTAAAAAGGATTAACATTGACTTCACCCTACTCCAAGATATATTTTTTCTTTAAAAAGGCTGAAAATGGCATCTGTGAATGAGGAAGATACTCTACATCTTCATTTTCCTTATGAGGATCAGGGATTGTAACCACCTCATTTTCCTTTTGCCAGTAAATTGTTCTGTGTGTTTAAAACCAGAACATCTTAAAGACCAGAACACACTTATAAGATGGGAAACTCCCTTCTTGAGAGCACGGAGGCAGAAAGGGATCTTGGAGTCATCATTGACTCCAAGATGAACATCGGCCAACAATGCGAGGTCACGGTCGGCAGGGCTAACCGGACCTTATCGTGCATCCACAGGTGAATCTCAAGAAGGGCCAAGGAGGTGATCCTCCCCCTCTACGAGGCACTGGTCAGGCCACAGCTGGAGTACTGTGTCCAGTTCTGGGCACCCCACTTCAAAAGGGATGTGGACAACATTGAGAGGGTCCAGAGGAGGGCCACCCGCATGATCCAGGGACAGCAGGGCAGACCCTACAATGAGAGGCTACGGGACCTGAACCTGTTCAGCCTTCACAAGAGAAGGCTGAGGGGGGACCTTGTGACCATCTATAAACTCACTAGCGGGGACCAGAAGGGTTTGGGGGAGAACTTGTTTCCCCTAGCGCCCCCAGGGATAACAAGGAATAACGGCCACAAGTTGTTGGAGAGTAGGTTTAAATTAGACATCCATAGGAACTACTTCACCGTCGGGGTGGCTAGGATCTGGAATGAACTTCCAAGGGAAGTGGTGCTGGCTCCTACCCTGGGGGTCTTTAAGAAGAGGCTCGATGTGAACCTGGCTGGGGTCATTTGAGCCCAGTTTTCCTCCTGCCCTGGCAGGGGGTCCGACTTGAAGATCTACAAGGTCCCTTCCGACCGACTTCTATGATTCTATGATATGATATGATTTGCAGAGTATGGACTGCTGGCAAGGAATGAGAAATGACTTATGAGGAGAGGTTGAGGGATCTGGGTTTATTTAGTCTGGGGAAGAGAAGACGGACCGGGGATTTAATAGCAGCCTTCAGCTCCCTGCAGAGGGGTTGCAAAGAGGATGGAGCTGTACTGTTCTCTGTGGTGGCAGATGGCAGAACAAGGAGCAATGAGCTCCAGTTGCAGCAAGGGAAGTTGAGGTTAGATATTAGGAAGAACTTTCTCACTAGGAGGGTGGTGAAGCATGAGAATGGGTTAGCTGGGGGACGGTGTGCTATATCCATCCTTGGTGGGTTTTAAGGCCCAGCTAGACAAAGCCTTGGCTGAGATGAGCTTGTTGGGGCTGGTCCTGCTTTGAGCAGGGTGTTGGACTAGATGTGACCTCTTGAGGTCTCTTCCAACCCTCATTTTCTATGATTCTGTGAAACTATTCAGTAAAGCACAG